TTTCCCAGAAACCATCCAGCTGAAAACAGTTGGGGTGGGATTCATGCCTTGGCCACACTTCTTGACCATAAAAAATAACTGTCACTTGAAACCTGACATAGTACTACTACAACACCATACAAACATCAGTCACATTGCTGCTGTAGACTCCTGTCTTATGCCTACAGACCACAGCATCAATGATTTACCACCATGAGAACCTACCAGACCAAAAAAAAAAAAAACCCTCACTCTTGAAGAACATTCTGAGGAAAAAACAACAAAAGTAACATACAACCATGGCAACTGGGCAAACCGAATTTCCACCAAAGACAAGTAATATAAAAACGAATGATGTGAACAACAAACTGCCCTATTTGGCATAGTGTGCAGAATGGAGACTGTGGAATTACAAAGGTACAAGGCAGTGCAGAACCCGTGTCCCATCTCAAAATGCTCTCTAAAGCAGGCAAGTGATATGGTATACTAGAGAGCCCCCAATCTTGTTCTGTTATCAAGCTACCTGGGTGAAGTTGGGCTAGTCACCTCCATGCAGTCTCTCTTTCCTCCCCACCCCCCATTGCCTCTATCTGACATGCACTGCATCCCAGAGCAGGTGCTGCTGTGTTAGCCTTTGGCAGCAATAACCAAAGAAAAGAGCTGTGTGACACTGTAACGACTGGCAAACTTATCATAGCATAATGTTTTATGGCTATAAGCCCATGTTGCCAGATGCAGTGGAACATATGGATGCACTGAGTCCTGAGCTACATTGAATAGCAAAGCCTGTTGTTCTTATTTAGAACATTTCAGTTTCTGAGAGCAGAAATGGTCAGGACTCATGCTGTGGTCTCCTGTCCTTATGTTACCAATAATGGCACTTCAGCTGCCACATTAATCAGACTAAAAGGCCTGCTGGAAAAGGAAGGTCTTATTTTTTTTATGCTCCCCCCCTCCCCAAGGTTCAATACTTCCAGTGAGAAGAAGCCATTAAAGCAGATGATCTCCCCAAAGAATTGGGATATTGTCTTCTTAATATTCACTTCCCCCTGAGAATTTGAATGGTTGCTAGTAGATGAGGCTGCTTATAAAAACCATAAATTGGCTGCTGAATAAAATGGAAAGCTCAGATCAGTAGATAACACTGAAAGATTAATTTTAACAAGGAAATCTTATTAATAGCAGGACTTTGAAAGCACTAGGTACAGGATGGATAGGGCTAAGGTGGTGAGATTGAAGACCTGAAGAATACATTTTATGTGAGCCTTTTGCCCCAATGCTTTCTTGAGAAATGCCAAAACAAAACATCAGATGTTAATGTATTCAAGATATAAGGTAAGAACACTTGAGACTTCTTTATCACAGATTAATTCATCACTGAGACTCAAATGGGATTGTAGAATATAGAACAAAAATTGTAATTATCTAATGGACAATGTAATAGGACTAGGAAATAAAATGGAATGATGATGTGAACAGCACACTGCACTAATTGGCAGAGTACAAACAATGCAGAATGTGGAATGACAAAGGTGTAGGATAATGCAGTACCCACTCCCCATTTCAAGATGCTCTAAACCAGGCAAACAATATGGTGTAGCAGTTACAGTGCCTCTGATCCTCCTCTGTTATAAGCCTACCTGGTTGAGCTTGGGCCAGTCACCCTCCTTTCTTCCCCCATCTGACACACATTCCATCCCAAGAACAGGAGCTTCTGAGTTAGCCTTTGGCAGCAATAACCAAAGAAATAACCTGTATGACACCATAACTACTAGCAAATCTATTGTAGTGTAAGGTTTTGTGGCAATGACCCCATGTTACCTGATGCAGTGGAACATACTGATGTAATGAGTTCTGAGCTCTGTTGAACAGCAAAGCCTGATTGTTCTTCTTCAGACTGTCTCAGTTTCTGAGAGCAGAAATGTTCAGGACGTTGAGTTGAAATCCTTCCGATGCTGGCATGTGTTACATCAGTGGTTTGATGGTTCCTCCCTCCCTCCCCCCACAGGGAGGAAGCAGCTCTAGCTTTGCCTTCATCTCAACATACTATTTTAATGTATGGGGAGGCCTTTAAAAATAAAAAAGTGTAGGAACATTCAAGCATTCACCTTTTTAACCTGAAGACAGAAATGATAGAACAGCCCTACAAAAGAATTAGGAATGTCCTTTTCTGATTTGAGACATACATCGTAGAATTTCAGGTATTCCATTCAGATTCATCAGTAGAAGCAAAGGGTCACACCCAATGTTCCCTCTAAGCTGTGGAGTCTTGTGAGAAAAAATTCTGCTTTGTGAATTACTGGTTTTAAAGTTGTGAGCCAATGATCTGGCTACTGCATAAATCAGTTAGCTCTGGAGCCCTCCTTCCTGAGCCACGGCAAAAGTGTGTGAGCTGGAGGCTAAAAAATTGTGAGCTAGCTCACACTAACTCAGCTTAGAGGGAACACTGGTCACACCCAGCCTGGATTGCACATTCAACCTTTTTCATGACTTTTACATCTGTTTTACATTTACATGGTACTTCCTGCATCCTCTCCTTCCCCTTCCTCTTTCCACCTATATATCTCTGGCCAGTTTCTTCATACCCTCCATGCATCTGACGAACAGAGCATCTCTTCATGAAAGAACAATTTAGCTTTCTGACATGAATTGACCAGGCAATGAAGTGACTATTAAATGAATGTCTTGTCAAAATCTGATCCAATTTTGTATGGTATGGGATTTTTTATGGTTTTAGTAGCTAAGGCTTGTAGAATACTTTTTTTCTCATTTGGAAGATGCTATAGGAATCATGGCATAGGATAGTTTATTATCATGGCAGCCCTAAGCAGCGTTACACCCTTCTAAGCCCACTGAAGTCAATGCCATAGGAAGGCATAGTTGAAACAACACGAATGTCACTGTAGGGTTAATGGAATAGCATCTCTTCATGAAAGAACAATTTAGCTTTCTGAGATGAATTGACCAGGCAATGAAGTGACTGGTTGGTGAAAACTGTTTTTCTTCCTCTCCTGCATGACAGACCCCCTGCAGAACTGCTAATCCTTTAAATGTTTTGAATTAGAATTATATCTAATACTTCCTGATACATTCTTCTGTTTCAGAGGTACCTGAGCATGAATTCAGAAGAAGGAAACCAAACAAGCCCTACAGAATTCATCCTCCTAGACTTCAATATCAAAGATCTACAGATTCTACTTTTTATACTGTTCCTTCCTATCTACCTTGTGACCATGGTGGGAAACATCCTCCTTGTTGTGCTTGTGTTCATTGATCAGCACCTTCACACCCCCATGTACTTCTTCCTGGGGAATTTGTCCTTCTTGGAGACCTGCTACAGCTCAACCATTATGCCGAGAATGCTGATCAGATTTCTAAGTGGGGATAAAGGCATTTCCATAGGTGGCTGCATTGCCCAAATGTATTTCTTCGGGTTTCTTGCAACCACTGAATGTTATTTTCTTGCAGTAATGTCTTATGACCGTTATTTGGCAATATGCAGGCCGTTGCATTATGCAATGCTCATGAATGGAAGAATCTGCATCCTCTTGATTGCTGTTTCCTGGATATTTGGAGCACTGAAACTTGGTATTGTAATATTTTTGGTGTCTCGGTTGACTTTCTGTGGACCCAACAAAATTAATCATTTCTTCTGTGATTTCACCCCAGTGATAAGGCTCTCTTGTGATGACACCTATGTAGTTGAAATGACCCTCCTGATATTCTCCTCCATAGGCACTCTGTTCCCACTGGTCATAATTGTCATATCTTATGTTAGCATCATTAAGAGTATATTGAGAATCCCATCCACTACTGGGAAACAAAAGGCCTTCTCCACTTGCTCTTCACACATCATTGTGGTGTCCTGTTTTTATGGGTCTTTGATGATAGTCTATGTCTTACCAAACACCAGCTCCCTGAGGGAGGTGAAGAAACTGTTCTCTCTGTTCTATACACTTCTCACCCCACTGGTCAATCCACTCATATATAGCTTGAGGAACAAAGAAGTAAAGGAAGCAATGCAGAAAAATTTCAAGATTCTTAGGTCCTTGCCACACGGCAGGGAAAACACCAGCCAAAGTGCGGCTAATTAGAGCCGCACCAAAATAGAAATGCCGCAGTGGGATCCCACAGATCCCCTTAGCCGCGGCGCCGTTGCTCCCCGGCATGATCAGATGCCGGGGAGGAAGCTACAGTTGGGAGGGGGAGGCTGCCGAACTGCGCATGTCTGAGCATGCACAGTTCGGGCAGGAGCCGGGGATGCACCAGCAAAAGGACGCGCCGGCGATCCCACGGCTGGCTTTGATGCGGCCTTCTCGGATGAACCACCACGGTAGGTGGTTCATTTTTTCACTGGGGTTTTGGGTGGAAGGGGTGGATCGGGAATGGGCGCGCAACGCTTCCCAGATGTTGTGGTGGGATCGCGCCCATTTGCTGTGCCCCCGATCCGTCCCTCTCCTGGCCCAAAACCTCTCATGTGACCGGGGCCTTACTATAGCAAAATGAAATGCATGAGGGAATTTGACTGTATGTCTTCTAAGTGTTCATAATGGAGGCAATGAACTAGAATGCTTTCTGCCAAATTACAAAGAAGGAATCCTGATTGCATGCAATCAAGTTAGAGGGACTTCTTAAGACGTCACAACTATCAGGATACATTTTTACTAACTGCATGTGTATCTTTTGATCATCCCTCATACTGGCATAATTTGGTTGGAAGTATCTAGAGATTCTGTGAATTAGTTCGCCAGGCAATTTTGATAAAATCATTATCAGCTATTATTGTGAGCCAGTCTCTGCAGATTACTTTGTTAATCCAGCAAACACCACTATCACCTTGTGAGCTGACTAAAATTAGCTTTTTTGCCTAATCATGGTGTTCACTGACTGACTCACCAGCTGAAGAATTGAACTGGCTCCGTTGAAACACATTGGTGTACTGAGAAGACCAGTTTAGGACTGCACTCTGAGTCCCCACTGAAATGGCATTGCTCAGAGGAGGCTCTGGGACTACAATGACTGCTTTAGGATGGGAATGAGATCTGCCAAAATGAAATGATGATCCCTGGGAGTAGAATGATCAAGTAGGGAACATACAGAAACTTGCAGAGGACATCTAATTTTCCCATGTATCCCCTTCCCTGCTGTTTGTCTGTTCTTTCCCATGGCAGCCTACACTTAGAATCACGGCCCCTTTCCTCTTTGCTTTTTACCATCCATCCTTTTGAAGACTTCTGATAAATTTGAAAGCTTGCACAGTATTTTGGAAATTTATGGATTTGGCTTTTGAGATAAACAAATATAAAAGCAGAGGAAGTGTACAGGAAAAAATACACCATCTGCAAAGATGTTGCTTGGAAAGCCAATTCTTTTGGCTAGGACACTGCCATGATAATGTGTCGGACTGTTATATTGCATCCCTGTGCAGAGTTGTTCCTGTCTAAGCCCAAGTAAGTTAAATGTCTTTGACTGGAGTAACTCTGTTTAGGATAGCACTGTCAGAAAGTGCTTCCCCTCTCCTGACTTCTTTTTGTACAGTTTGTAGACCGAGCTGTGAGATAAAATTTAATGGTGAGTTTGGGGTAAAAATAATGAGGATCCATACTTTGAATTCATGCTTTGGAACCCTGTTTTTGCACCGTGGTAGTACCATAACGCTGTGGATCCATATTTGGTGTGTTTTTTTGTGTTGTTTTATGGTGCAATCTGTGGGCATGGCTGTGATTTTCAATTGAAATGTATGTTTGGGGTAAATAACATGAAGATCCATGAATATCTGTGCCTTTGGATCCATGCCCCACTCATGCTTCAGACACAATCACATCTTCCTAAATTGGCATGAGGGGGACCTTTACCAGTGGTGTTTTGCTCCCCCTAAAGAGGTCTACTGAGATGAAAGACCCCTTTCATCTCATTCTACTTGTGGATATCATATTAGACTCCATACCATAGTTTTTCTGGATCATGTCTAAGTTTTTTTTGGGGGAAACTGAGCTCTTTTGCAAAGGTATGCAGAAAATCCATGCTGACAAAAGCAAAAGGTAGGGTCTAATATAATAAAAGCAAAATAATTAATTTTGGTAGTCTTTTGTCATCGATTTTAGTTTGGTTGCAGAGAAAATAATTGTGCAGCAGCACCACTGGGCTATGTAACAGACCACACATGTGTGAAAGCTAAGCTTGTATGCATGCTGGTTTGTGGCCAGCCAGTGAGCTGCTATGAAGAAGAAGA